AACAGGACAAGGTATTTTTGACGAGCGACAGTCATGCTTGATGCATGTGGGACGTCTTGGAGCCGTAGCTTATGATAACAATGGAGATAGATTAGGTGCTCATTGGAAGGACTGGAGGAAAGTACAACTGGTCAATACTATAGTCTAAACGCTCTGTTCCCAAATAAATTCAGTCTTCCATCTACTCAACGATCATCATCTGTCCGACCTAACGCAAGCTCTGTCGAAATTAATGAAGAAGCCAATCAAATGTCAATGGAACCATCGGTTATGAACCTTGACTGGGCATCCGAAGGTTTTGGATTGATCGATGATGGAAATGAAGTACCTACCGAGTACCTGTTCGACGGAGGAGCAACTGATGCTGTAAGCAATGACAGAGCAGCTCTGAAGAACTATCAGCCTCTACCCCATCCTGTACCTATCAAGACGGCAGCTAATGATTCTAATGCCGTGATAGTAGGTAAAGGCAACATTGAATTAACGACCGAACAAGGCGAAACTGCAATCATCAAGGATGTTTACTACTGCCCAAAGGCAACGACCACGATCATTTCACCAGGTGCTTTAATAGCGAGCGGAGCTAAGATATCAATGACGAAAGACAACAATTATCAAATTAAACTCAAAAACGGAAAGATTCTGTATGCAGTACACAAGAAAAGAAGATGGTTCATTCAAGCTAGAAAAAATCGTCCTGTTTTTTGTAATACTCCAAAACTATCTCATCATATCTGTGCAATGAAGTCTTCATATCATTTGTCTAAGATGTGGCATGAACGCCTTGGCCACGTGTCTATGAAGAGGATTGAGAAACTTTTTAAGAATCATGAAGAGTACGGCTTGCCTGAAATGAAACATTGTCCAGTCACATGTGAGGATTGCTTGACTTGTAAAAGCATTAGAAGGAGAGTTTTGAGCAGTACGAACCGTGAACCAAAAGTTATGGAGGTGCTTGTGACTGACGTCGCAGGTCCCTTCACGCCCTGTTTTACAGGTGAACAACTGATGGTTACTTTTCGAGATGTAGGATCGACGTACTCCGAAATTTGCATTATCAAACACAAATCAGAAGTTTATCAGAGACTAATCAACACTGTCAAGAAGTGGGAACGTGAAACAGGCATCAAAATCAAGACCATACGATCAGACCGTGGAGGAGAATATGTAGGAGCTAATTTAGAGAAATGGTTAAAGATGCAGGAATAAATCATGAATTCTCTAACCCGTACGAACCTGAACAGAATGGAACAGCTGAAAGACTTAATAGAACACTTGGAGAAATGGCCAGAACACTCTTAGCATCCAGCAAACTGCCCACTAAATTCTGGAATTTCGCATATCTTACAGCAGCTTATATTCACAACAGACTACCAAACTCCATGACAGACAATAAGACGCCGTATGAATTGTTTTACCAACGCAAACCAATGCTTGACATCCTATGAACTTTTGGAAGCACCGCATTTGTGCATATTCATTCAGGACAAAGATCACCAGGTAAATTAGAGAATAGAGCGAGAAAATGTAAGATGATTGGGTACATAGAAGGAGGAAAAGGGTGGTTATTTTACGATGAAGAATCAAAAACAGTTTTTCCCTCAGCAATAGCAAAATTCCCGTATGAAGAAGATTTTATTCCACCACAGAACTCTGCACAGCAAAACTCAGAAAATGAACTGAACACGAACAAGAAGGACAAAGGAAGCATTCAACACATTCTGAACGCTCTGAAATTAGGTGACTTTACAGATGAAGTACGAATTGACAAACAAGACATGGCAGCAAATCATGCATTAAGTGGAGAAGATTATCTGAAAATACTCAAACCACCGAGATCATACGCAGAAGCGCTGAGATCAGAAGAATCAACAAAATGGAAGGAAGCTTGTGACACAGAAATGAACATGATGGACAAAATGAAGGTGTGGAAAGTTGTTGACAAACCTGAAGGATTAGTACCTATAGATCTGAAGTGGGTTTTCGCATACAAGAAAGTAGACGCTGACGGTAATCCAATCAAATTTAAAGCACGGCTAGTCGCAAAAGGTTTTCGTCAGCAAGAAGAAATTGATTACAATGAAACATTTGCACCCACCGCAACATTCGCCGGCCTACGAATCATGCTTACA